AGTTATTACTCTCTGAAAGACATTTCGTTTGATATGCATGAAGACAGGTTAGGACACCGCGTGCGTGGGTGTCAGGCGTGATGACGTCACGCCAGTCACTAGTGATTACGTCACTAGGCCTTGTGACAGTGTTCAAGTTATTACTTTCTCAAAGACATTTCGTTTGATATGCATGAAGACAGGTTTGGACACTGCGTGCGTGGGTGTCAGGCATGATGACGTCACGCCAGTCACTAAAGATGACGTCACTGGGCCTTGTGACAGCGTTCAATTTATTACTCTCTCAAAGATATTTCGTTTGATATGCATGAAGACAGGTTTGGACACCGCGTGCGTGTGGGATAGACGTGATGACGTCACGCCAGTCACTAGTGATGACGTCACTGGGCCTTGTGACAGCGTTCAAGTTATTACTCTCTCAAAGACATTTCGTTTGATATGCATGAAGACAGGTTAGGACACCACGTGCGTGTGTGATAGGCATGATGACGTCACGCTAGTCACTAGTGATGACGTCACCGGGCCTTGTGACAGCGTTCAAGTTATTACTCTTTCAAAGACATTTCGTTTGATATGCATGAAGACAGGTTTGGACACTGCGTGTGATAGGCGTAATGACGTCACGTGAGTCACTAGTGATGACGTCACTCGGCCTAGTGCCAGCATTCAAGTTATTACCCTTTCAAAGACGTTTTGTTTGATATGCTTGAAGGCACATTGGAGAGTGCTTGCGTGAGTCTTAGGCGAGATGACGTCACGCCACTCACTAGTGATGACGTCACTGGGCTATGTGACAGCGTTCAAGTTATTACTCTCTCAAAGACGTTTCGTTTGATATATATGAACTCAGGTTAGACACTGCGTGCGTGGGTGTCAGACGCGATGACGTCACACTAGTCACTAGTGATCACGTCACTAGGCCGATTGACAGCGTTCAATTTATTAGCCTCTCGAAGACGTTTCGTTTGGTATACATGATGGCAGGTTAGACATTGCGTGCGTGGGTGATAGGCGTGATGACGTCACCTAACTCACAAGTGATCAAGTCAGTTGGCCGAGTCATAGGTAACACGTTATCGCTCTCTCAAGACGTTTCGTTTGGTATGCATGTTGGTAGGCGAGTAAAGTTTCATTGATATGCATGACGGAAGGTTAAGACAGTGCGTGCATGGGTGATATTGCGTGAGGACGTCACCTAAGTCACTCGTGATCAGATCATTGGCCTGGTTAATAAGTATCAAGTTATTATTGTGTGGACAGCGTTGCCCTTTGATATGCATGTCGAAGGTGTGATTAGTGCTTACGCGGGTGATAGACGATGATACAGTCGCGCGAGTCACATTGTGTCACTAGTGACTCATTCATGGCTTTTTCCTGTTAAATTCACTCCAAAGCTATTCACTCCACGCATTCCGAAAATTCTGGGTCGTTTTGATGTCACAATGTCATCAGGATAAATTCACTGGCGTCCGGATTAATCGGCTGGCGGTTGGATTAATTTCAGTGGCACTGGATTAAAATGAATGGCACCTGGATAATTTCAGTGGCGGCTGGATTAAATTGACTGGCGCTTAGATTAATTTGGCTGGCGCTTGGATTAAATTGAGCGGGAAAACTGTAGTATATACTATGAACTCGAGGTGGTTAAAGGTGGGAAGTAGACCCGAAGCGCAAGCTGTTAGAAAGTGTGCGTGTGCCACCTCTCGTTTAGTCTTGGAATGTCCGCGGATGGCGGTGTTTTTATATGGGGCATATATGATGAAAGATGCGAGATGGTGGTACTTGGAGTGTTGAATAGAGGGCGAACAGACACACAGACAGATGCATGAATGGACGCATGAACGGACGCAGGGGCGGAGCATGGACGAACGCAGGAACGGACGCACGCACGGACGGGCGGATGGACGCATGTACGGTCACACAGGCGGAACGGAAGGACAAGAACGAATGGACGGACGAATGCTTCGCCCCACTCTCCACGGTTCCCTCCGTGGATATTGCTGCCAATTTTTTTTATTAACTCAATATAATGGTTGAAGTTCAAAAAACAATCAAGTTCTACACCGAGAAATGTCCATTTTTCAGAAGGAAATATTTCATGGTTATTAACATATACCGGGAGTGCGTTATCTCGGTTTTTTTACCAGAGCTGAAATAACAAATTTTTGTCTGTGTGTGTGTGTGTGTGTGTGTGTGTGTGTGTGTGTGTGTGTGGTGGGCTGGGATGTGTGTGTGTGTGTGGTGTGTGTGTGTGGGTGTGTGTGTGTGTGTTGTGTGTGTGTGTGTGTGGTGGTGTGTGTGTGTGTGTGTGTGTGTGTGTGTGTGTGTGTGTGTGTGGTGTGTGTTTGTGTGTGTGTTGTAGTGGATTTCGCGCCAAAACCTATGATTACACTGAAAGCAACAGAAACACGTACAAAAACAATATTTCTGATAATTTTCTTTTCGCCAGTATTTAGTTATATACATTCGTTCTCTTTTTCTTGGTAAGCTACCCGATTCTTCGCCGATCCCCCAGGGTGGGTGTAAGCCACGAGTTTATGATCTACATCTACATCATCTCGTCACTTAAAGCGTGCTAACCATTGCACAGAATGGAAAATTACGCGAAAGCCTCACTTATACAAGCCACTTTCAACTTTATCGATTACATTGTAGTATTCCCCTATTTAAACTTCTCGAGCAACAACATAAGATAAAAAGTATGCACTAAGTGGTTAAAGTACGCTCTAGGGGCAGGATACCACTCCGCCTTCAACTTTCAAATGCGAAGCTTAAGGATCCCCCAATGTTTTACATTACCTCGATGATCAGATTCATCTCCTGGTTTCGCTCTGCCTCCATGATCTCCCGCCATTGACCAAGCTACAATGTGATATCACCCCGCCGTGGTGGTCTAGTGGCTATGGTACTCGGCTGCTGACCCGCAGGTCACGGGATCGAATCCCGGCTGTGGCGGCTGCATTTCCGATGGAGGCGGAAATGTTGTAGGTCCGTGTGCTCAGATTTGGGTGCACGTTAAAGACCCCCAAGTGGTCTAAATTTCCGGAGCCCTCCACTACGGCGTCTCTCATAATCATATGGTGGTTTTGGGACGTTAAACCCCACATATCAATCATTTACAGTGTGATTTCGTAATCATGCGATAGGACGTCACATGAAAGCACTGTGACGTCATAAGAAGGTCTCACATTTTGGCTATTTGTGATGTAATTATGACGTCATGTTGACGTAATCACGTGATGATACCTTTTGCATCACTGGTGTTAACGCCGACAGAGACGTCAACATTAGACACCGGGTATTTTTCGCATTTGATGCGCATGTAAAGATTTCGTCTTAATCTTTTGCTTGCTGTAGCCACTTCAGTGGTTATTTAAAAAAAAACTTCACAGAAACAGATGTAGATGTTAGAAATATAGCTTGGTCCTTTCTCTATCTGATTAAAGCTCACAAGCTCTATTTTCTTATTTACCGTGTAATATGTCGTACTGTTTCATTTACGAGTGGCCTTTGATATGTCCTTGACCAACTCTAGTGTATGGGCTGTCAGAAATAAGTGGAAACTTTTTCGCTTGACTCAATACGGAACAGGGGAAATGGATCAAAGACTACATTTATTTGTAGTCTTTGATCTTTGACGTCTTTAAAGAAATTCATAGGAGACAATATTTGTATTATTTAACTGCAGAGTACCAATCACGACATAGATATATCGAAATGAGTTAATGGACGGGAAAAAAAAACAATTGACCGCTGCTGGGGACCGAACCTACAATCTTCGTACAACACGCCCGATGCTCTACCAACTGAGCTATGGCGGTGGCCATCCTTGTTCACTTTATTAACGACATTTTCATTGCTCTTATTTATATTGTGAGCGTAGTTACCGACTCTTCTTAATGAATTGTACGAGTCCTCATCATTTGTATAATTTCCTCATCAGTATATATCATCATCAGTGTGTGCCAGCTCGAGCTCGCCTCGAATAAAGCTCTTCCTCATAAATGGCGAGCTCGAGGCGAGCTCGAGCTGGCACACTGATGATTATATCTACAGATGAGGAAATTATACAATGATGAGGACTCGTACAATTGATAAAGAAGAGTCGGTAACTGCGCTCACAATATACATTCAATATTGCTTCATGCCTGCTAGAAAGTTCATCGTCTGACGTAAACGTAGTTGATTAAAACGTACGAGGGTCCATCGGTAGGAGTAAATAACTGCAACGAAAACGTAACATTACATCACATGTCGGCGTGGACATGTGATGTAGTGTTCCCTTCCCTCCAGAACAAATAAGCTGCAACTATTGCTTGTTTCGCCGTAATAAAGAAAGGGCTTCTGCATGTTCAAGTTATCCCGAGCATTGTAAACACCGTGTTTTATTTTATCAATGTACACATATTGCTTGAGGAAATGGAGTTACTGAGTTTCATACCGAGCTATTGTACGAGTCAGTGTTCGTTGCGTGATCAGTAGAAAGCATTTGTTTGCTGCGTTAGTTTCAAAGCCCGTTATCTGTCATGTTAAGCTCTATATATATGTGCACAAAAGTAAATATTGCCTGTAGCGAGCTTTTCTTTAAAAGAAAGTGTACTTATCAAGTTCTAATATACAAATTTGACCACCTAGCACACAGAAGAAGAGAACCGTTTGCACAGCGACTAGAACGTGGTCTTGCCAGCTCAACAGTGAATGTAGACAGCTTATCAAGGCTGTCCAAACTCCTTAGCGACATTCGAAAAAGCCACGTGAAACTGGAGACTCGGTCAAAGACAGCAGATACAGGGTAAAAGTCAAGAAAGACGCCAGATTTGATAGTGGGAGAGTAGCAAAAGATGGTACTCGGGATTCTTTGAGAGTGAGAGGAGCGAGAGTCAAGAGTTATTTGTACACCCTTCTTAGAACACCCTCTCACGCTTCACTCTAAGTGCCCGCGACGCAACCGTTGCGTCATGACTCTGACCCTACAATGCCAACCACCGTTAGATGATGGTTGGTACAGCAAGCCGGTGAAAAATTCTCGGGTTTCTTGCGACCTCTATTTCAGATGTCCCGTCTGTTTCTCGCGAGAAGAACAGAGATAGAGAGAGAGAGAGATAGACATGTCTGCAAATTGGGCAAGCGTTTCCCCTATTTAAGCGGGCCAAACTCAGCGCTAGGCAGTCTTGTTTCTGAAAACCGCTCCTAGTGTGTGCCATCATGAAAGCAGTCCTGGTTCTCGCTGTGTTTTTCGTCATCGCCAATTCCGCTCCCCACGGCGCAACTGAGGAGCACCAGCACGAAGGCCACGAAGGTCATCATGGCGACCACATCGACGAGCATGGGCGCCATCGCCCACACAATGGATCCGTCTGCAGTAAGTTTTCGCTGAGTTTCTTCATTCTCTACGAGTGTCAGTCTCTCTCCCTCTCTCCCCCTTGATCTGCGTTGTTGCCTCGGCCCTCGGGGGAACTGCATTAATTGAATGCGGCCCACTGGCTGAAATGAGCTTGAGACGCCTACTATACTAAATGGCATACCAGCAGTTGTATTCACGCCGGCAAAAAAAAAAATCCGTTTTTCAATAAACAGCCGCTCTTTGCTTCTTTATGAACGCGTGAAAAGTACTTTGAAGCCATGTCTCATAAGACAGCTTGTCGTAGGAGTCAGGGACAGAAGGGGTAGACTTTAAGGAACTCTGTAGAGCCAAACTGGGTTACTTTGCATTTTAGCAGGTAAATATTGGAAATGGCGTTGAAATTATAGCCACTGAGCAGCGTAAGATCAATCTTCTTTTCTTTCTTTTCAGATTTGTCTGAGCAATCCCTGGCTACAGTTGTTGAATGTGTAGTACGAAATGTTACAGAGGAGGTAGGTTTTTTTTTTTTTTTGATGTGGTACTTCATGTATCTTGTAGCCTGTGCTGTAGTTCGTACGCATCGAGTCGTCTGAGATTTTTTTTTTTTCTAGAGCCCTAAGCATGACTTGGCAAACTCACTCACGGGTAAACTCAATCAGACTCACTCATACTCCAATTTAGTCGTGAGTCTGAGAGAGTCCGGGTGACTAATATTTTCGTGAGTCTGAGTCCAAGTTAGTCTAAAGCTCAATATACATTTCTTGAGTAAGTCTGAGTTCGCTCCACAAGTTTTGCTTACCTATCGCCATAATTACTACACTTCAGGTACATCACACGAGAGGCCAGCATTTTTGGTGGTTTAATTTTGCGATACATGCCTTCTTAGACAGAAAAACCTTTCCAGTTAGGTTTTTCTTCAGAATTAATATCTTGCGTTTCTCTGTAAGAGTGCGCAAAAAGTCGTCGCGGGGAAGGCAGTACAAAATCATTCCACTGCCACTTAGCCCCAAACTTATTGATTCCGGCTTTTGTGGTCGATCGCGTCTGCATCATTTTTGGCTCCCTTCACCACTCAACATCCACCGTTCATGGTAAATAGTTATAAATAGGAAGAGGATAGATATAGTAGACAATGAGGCTGAATGCAGCATACTCATCAAGCCTTTTTCGCACGCTAATGAGACCCTTAAGTGATCGTCTATATAGTAAACGTTATAATGGGGAAACATCTGAGGAGTGTACGTAAAACGTAAACCAGACAGAAAGGCGCTGGTGTTGGTCAAGCGCTAGGTATCCGGGAAGTCAGATGGTTAATGCTATACGTATTGAATGAAAAACAAAACAAAACAGTCTATGTAGATAAGCTATAGGCCCCCAGAATACTTAATTACTGTCGTTGCGTAAAAAACTTCAATATTATATCGTCGGTGCCCTGTTTTAGTACCCTAGTGTCGAGCTTGCATGACGAGAACTGGCAGGACGTGAAGTTGAATTCATTGCATTTGCAGAACACTCTATAGGTTTCGCAAATAAAAATCCTCGTTCGCATCACGTCTGAATTACACGCAGATTCTAGGAAAACTGGAACGTGTAAAAGACAGCCTTCAGTGCGACACCATCCTGTGTGGAATTAGGAAAACGTGCGACCGAGACGGCACGCTGGTAAGATTTGTCCTTCAATCTCTGCCAACATTCTCCGCAAGCAACCCTTTGTAGACTTAATACAGTGATACAGTTTACGAGAAAGCAGCGGAAATGTATAAAATGATGTGACAGTTCTAGCATGAAAATATATAGTCTGGCCGTCATTTTTCCTAACGCCGCTCTCACCGCGTTGAACTTAACAGAAGAAGATGACATGGGTCCACAATATTTTTTTTTAATAATGCTTAAATGTGGTACGGGATCACGTCTCTTCCTTACACGGCAATATTTGCTTGTTCATTGTGCTTTGGAGATCAAATTTCGGGACGTTAAACCCCTTGTATCAATCAATCAAATCTTCGAAAATCAAATGTGAAGCTTACGTTTAGTCTAGAATCAGTAGCAAGTTAAGTGACATAACTTGTTAAATTAAATACCATTCAAAGAATACAATTACGCACTGTTTATACTATCAACAGTGGAGCTACGGTGACACTCCGCATGGCGTTGGCACTATTTCGGCCGTGTATGCGCCACCGTGAGCGGGTATGAGCTATGTGGCTGCTAGCGTAGCGCAAAGTTATGCTGTGCTATGCTAGGAGCCTAGCACACCATAATATAATTGCGAGGAGGTAGGAAAGAGGAGTAGCATAGCATAATACATCACTTAATGGTGAGAATGAGAAGTGAGGTTGAGCAAGAATAAAAGAAGGCGAGGAGAAGGTAAAGCAGAGCATACCCTTGTATAGTATATATAATTCAGCAAGGGCGAGCAAAAAAAGTGAGGGCAAGGAGGACTGATGTTGAGATGGTAAAAAGTGGCCCAACCACGGACAGTATAGCACAGAAAGAGTTGTGAAAGAGAAGCGAGAGTGGGGAAAAATAATGTGGGAGGCAGAAAATGGCGAAGGAGGAAATCAGGCAATTTATAAAGAATAATAAATAGCAAGATAAAGTGATAAAGAAGCATGAAAAAATACGAAGAATGAGATGAGAAAAGAACTCGGTCAATGTACGAAAGGTGCAGTGGTGCCTGTTAGCCATCTATGATGTTTAGCTAGATTTCAGAGGCGTGAATAGGCTTTAATCTTTTAGAGCACTTCACCCTGCGACTTGTTCCGCCTTTAACGGGCTCAGAACCCGCGTCGGAGTGAACCCTACAAAATAATTATTTCTCGCTGTAACACTCCATCTTCATTGTGACGCCGGGGCACTGCACGTCGCATACGGCAACGTTCAGGTGGACATGACGAGCAATGTGCAGTTGCAATTTCTATTGTTCAGTGAATACCCAGTGTTCGCTTATGCGAAAATTTGAGTCGAAGCGCACCACCCAACGCCACGAATAAATACCCCTCAAAATAACCGGACCATAACAGTACAAGAAGTAATCTTTCCACACTTGCAGCTTTTATAACCTAAAATTTTAAACATTTCAGCCTATGACGACGCGTAAAGTATGAAACAAAGGTGTACACATACACTGTATTCTCTTTAACAACTCAACTATGCAATTGTTTGACATTTATTGATGTCAATAAACGGGGACACGTCGGAGTGACGCTTCACGCAGTAGTGAAGATTTATCAAACAATGCAAAAGTTCCTATTTATTTTCAAGCATAAATCAATAAAGAGTACGGACACTTTTATTTCACTTTACAGAACAACCGGACGGACGTTTTCACGGTGAGTTTCTTCTGCTATAACATTTTCATAAACTTTCCTGTACTTCTAAACTAGAACAAGACTCGATTGTTTATGTTAACTTGATTACTTGATCATGAGTTAATGGGGAACAAAAGATTCTTATGTCTAATATTAGACAGCAGTATACTGTTTACTTTGAAAAAAAAATATTATAAAAGAAGAAATTAAACTCTCCTATTTTTACTTCTGTTAACACAATCTCCAAATTTTCTTATAACTTTGCAGGAAAGTGCTTTGTTGATACAACATTATAATGTTCATCGTAAATATGTCGTGAAAATAAGTGCTACCGCAGCTCTATTTCACGCCGTGCTTTTACCTCACACGTGACTTAAGACAAAAAGCTCGCATTTCTGCAGCAAAACTGGGCCATCAGGCAAATTGAAAGAATGATTTCACATGAATTGTTTTATTCTCAAATCCATTTTATTTTTTGGTGGGGGGGGGGTGTAGAAGCAAGGATATCTATTGTTTAGCTATATTATGTTAAACATTGAACTACAAACTTGCCCTGTAGTGTTAGAAACCATAGGAGTAATGAAAGTAGATGTGTATTTAGAGCGTAATATTTTGTCAATGATGATAAGACGTTGAGATAGATATTGCTCGTATAACGATGTGAATTAAGTGAAATTACGAGACTTTTAAAATGTTACTTCTTGGAAACACGGACACACGCACGCACGCCCCGAAGCAAATAGATGTGGTCGGCGCGTTATTCAATCTTGTCATAAACAAAATTCGCTGACAATCCTTAGTTTAGTGTTGATGGTAAATGTTTCACTTTTTTTTCCTACACCCTTCAGCATCAACAGAACGGCGAGATTCGCGCTGCGTTCATGGGATGCCGGCATCAACTAGTGGCCACGTCTGAAGAGGCAGTTCAACGTGCTACTGCTGAAGCCTAGATTTGTATATAAAAATCGATGAGCGAGCCTTACCTCACTAACGAATGCAATAAAAGTGCAAATTTGTGTCCCTTCCCTGGTTCTCTCGTTTCAAGCCGTAGCCGCTGCACCCTACTTGCTCAACACAATCGGCTACGGTCTTGATAGCTTGTCTGTTATGTGTGTTTGTGTGCTTTTTACACAATTTGTGTTACACTAAATGGCTATATTTCAAGTGACACCAACACCAAAACTCTTCCGTGATTTGGTAATAGGGTATTGTAGCCTTCGTGCCTATTTATTTGTATGCTAGGAAATGAAGTGTTCTTGTGGAACCGCATAAATGCAATAGAAATAGTCGTATATCCATCCGCTTCGTAATGACGCTTTTATAACAGTGCTACACAATAACACTATGTCGTCACCACGCATTGCCTAGGGCTGTTGCTTACTAAAATAGGTATTTTCCTCAAAATTTGTGGCTTACTCGAACAGTCAATGTCTTCAGAAAATAGCCTCTGCCCACTAAAAATGCCTTCTTTGCTACGAGCCTGTGTGTGTGTGTGTGTGTGTGTGTGTTGGTGTGTGTGTGTGTGTGTGTGTGTGTGTGTGTGTGTGTGTGTGTGTGTGTGTGTGTGTGTGTGTGTGTGTGTGTGTGTGTGTGGTGTGTGTGTGTGTGTGTGTGTGTGTGGGTGTGTGTGTGTGTGGTGTGTGTGTGTGTGTGTGTGTGTGTGTGTGTTCACACACCTCCTCTCTCTTTACGCTAAAAACACATCAATCCGTAACACTCATCAGAAACTAGATTCTAGCATCTGACCATCAAACCCTGGTCCTCGTTCCCATAAGCCTGCAGCCGATAAGCCGTTACAGTGGTTGTCTCGCAGTGCTGAATCACTGTCTCCAACATGATCATTGCGATAAGCAAGCGGCTTCGAATGACACGACGAGGACACCAGCAGCACAAGCCATTTATGTGGCTACTTGAATTGTCCCATTCATCCTGATCAAGCTTTCACAGTTATCTTATAACGCATGGTGTGATGAACTATTGCCATTTGGTGTACTTTAAACTAGAGGCTTATCCTTAATCGTGACTGACCTTATAAATACTATCTGCTGGATACCGCTCCGGAGTTAAGCCCCTTAACGTACTTCTTTCTCTCTCAATTTCTTTATGCTTTCTTAAGCATTCTATTTCCTTATCTCATCTTCTCGAACAGAGTGAAGAACTATAGAAACACCACCTTGCGTTTGCAAAAAAAAAAAGCTTATCGTTCACTCGCTCCCTCATTTACATGCGAATGCGTGAACATAGTTTGAACTCATGTCGGAAACAACGCATATTCAAAGAATAATCTTGCTGCAATCTTCACATCGCGATAGCGAAGGACAGTTGAAGGCTTTCTAAGCATATAACATCGATGCCTGCGATTCCGGAGTAGAAAAGAGACAGTCCCCGAGTTGCGCTGACTTCATTCTATCTGCGTCTCCATACTGCTGCTGCATCGAAAACGTTCAAGAAGCGAGAACTCCTCTGCTGCAAGCTGAAAGGTAAGTACATGCTCTTTTACAAACCATTTTCCACGTGCATGCTTGCTTTTTCGCAAGTTGATGTGTTTTTCCTCTATTTATTTACAATAAGCCTTGGCGTCCAACTTTCAGCTTCGTCAATAATATCTCGGCACCATTTCGTGGTTTGAGCGTTTGATGAATGTATGTTTTGCATGGTGTTCATACCGAGCGGCGCCGGAAGGCCTGAACAGCAAAAAAAAAAAAAGCACATGATCTGCGATTCTGTAAAATTTAAAATCACGTGTGAGCTCGTGGGACAAGGCCGGGTGTTTCATTCATGGTTTGCCTTCATAAGAATTCAATACGGGACAGAGAAGGCCGCAATTTCGATACGCTGTCAACTTGATCTTTCATACAATTCATTTTTTTGTGTATTCGGTTTTTGTAAAAGTACACCGTGTTTTAAGAAATACGGAGCCCTCTGTCATGACCTTCTTATTTGAATTTACTGGCAACTATTTCTGCAGAAGAGGAACATTCATAAATTGTGTAACGCTCATGGAAAGATAATGATGCAAGTTTATAAGGCATCAAATCACTGTTGCGTGGCTCAGTCAAACTTTGAGTCAAATTTGGCAACGCCAGGCTGCGGAAATCACACGTATGTGGAAGGAAACCCTCAAGGTATAAGATTTCGCCAACACACACGATGACTCTCATTTTGAGATACGTTATGTTCACGTTCGAAGCGTACACTCAATAGCCATGCAATTGCAACACTTCATTCTTGCGTCATTATTCCTCTTGTCACGCTCTCGGAACGTAAATCGTGTGCGTAACAATGTAACAATACCTGGGATTGTACGTGCCAAAACCACGATGTGTATAGGAGGGACGCAGCAATGAAGCCCTCCGGAAATCTCGACCATCCGTTTTCTTTTTTTTATTTGTGAACCGACATCGTCGAGTACATGGGCTTCTGCAATTTCGACTATACATTGAAATGTGACCACCGCGGCCGGCCGGAGTCGAAACTGCGACCTTCTGATCAACAGCCGAGCTAAATAGCCACTGCTACATCGCGGTGAACTCCGCGTACATGTAAGAGTGAAAATAACCCGCTCATCGTTCCTGAAACTTGGGTAATTCCCAGAAAGTCAATTGAAAGATTATATCTAGGTGACGAATGGGACGGCACTCGGCCATCGCAACTCTTGGCAGCAGCGGCTACCTCGTTACCATGGCGACGCCCTTCCATTCCTTGCAACACAATGCCGCCTAGTGGCAAGGGCGATCGCTGTTCTTCTATTTTCACGTTTCTTACGCAACTTGCGCTACTGCCCTAATAATCTGGTCACCGCCATAGTTAGCCGACGAGTGAGATCATTGCGGGGGGAAGATTGACGTAAAAGGCTGCACAGGCCGATCTCTTCTCTGTTTCTTTTTTTTTTGCCTTTTTCTCTGAAATGTAACTCTTTGCCCAATATACCACAATGCCTGTCAGGTGCGCTCTTCTTCTCCTGACTTATGGCAGTTGTCTCGTCTCTATCAACGACCAACTTTGATGTCATCTACGGTGATGACATACACACTCAAGAAGGTTGACAATCAAAATGATCGTGGTCATTTCTGGACAACTGAAGTCGCAGAACGGCGCCGACTATAAGACATAACATGGGTGACGGTTGATTGTTTCCACGTGGGTCGTGTCACGGCTGCTCGTCATGTAACGACCCCTCCAGGGCAGAACTGACTCGCGTAACACGTCGCAGCGTTGGTTCATTGCGAAAGCAGTCATTGCATGTTATGATAAAGCGGAAAGTTTGACAAGTAGTGCTAAATTTTTTGTGAGCGCTGTTCGGTCGGTACATTCAACATGGTTCGCCGCTGCGGTATAGCGCTCACAGTGCTCGTTTCCTGAACGAAAAGTCGCAAATTTTGAGCCGGACCACTGAGTTCGTATTTCGGGGAAAGCGATATGCCAGAAGACCGGGTACAGTGCAATGTCAGTGCACTCGGCTGCATTTTCGATGGTGGCTAAAATGCTTGAGGCCCGTGTGCAGAGATTTACCCCCGCATTCTAGAACGTCCCTTCACTCAACGCTTCACCTTCACTTGAGAAAGCCGATGGAAGCGCCATCTCTAAGAACGGCAAGTCACTGCATGTCAGGGATAGTCTGCGGCGATTCTTGAGTACCACAGCGTAATTTTCAGCCAAGCAGTGGCGCACTGCTCAACTCTGTCAAGTCAAGGGTGAAAGTCGAGTCGAGGAGCGTGTGTGAATACGGGGGTTAGACGCACGTTAAAGAACCCCAGAAGGTCGGAATTCAAGGAGCCCTCCACTATGGCGTCCCTCGTAATCATATATGGTGGGCTTGGGACGTTGAACCCCGACAGTTATTATTATTACTACTACTGTGTACCATTGGACAAAGTATGCATAAAATTAAACAGAGCTTTAAGCAGGACCATAGCCATAAGCAAAAAGCTGGTGTTTCCTTGCTGCGTTGGAAAGCTGGAGCACACTTGGTCGATCTCCCTACCTGCACGTTTAACGTCCTTGTTATCTCCTTCCATCTCATCCTATTTATTTGTTTATTTATGTGTTTGGGTAGTTAATAAATTACGTAATAAAGTATATAGGGTTACGCTTTAACTATAGCGAGAATCGGTCAGTCATATATATATATATATATATATATATATATATATATATATATATATATATATATATATATATATATATATAATCATTGAATACTCATGGCTAGCTTCTCTGACGTAAGTATTGTGAGTGCCAAATCTGTCCGACGAAAGACTGATTCACTAACACCAGCGCCATGACACAGAGCACATTCATAAATTATCGCGGAGATAGCAGCACGGCAGTTCTTATAAGTCTTATCTATTACTCAGCCATCTTTTCCCCTTTGACACTATCGACAAAAACGAAAGCACGAGTTCAATTGCTCGACGGCCAACTAAAGCTTATCCAGTTTCGGCATGCGATAAGAAGTCATACGGATTCCTTCCGTTGCACTTCATTAGCTCTCTTTCTTAACTCCAACTGATCACTCCATACACCCAAAACGGATGGTGGCGTAGTCAGACCAAACGAACGTGGAAAGAAATAGTTTGTTGGAGTAGGATCATTACACCATCCAGCAGCTTGAAAGGCTCCAAGTGGGCTGTAAACTGCAATACAGCGGAACCTTAGTTAGTATTGAATTTGGTATATCGCACTTGGGACCTTAAGCGAAAATTTAAAAAATATTTATCCAACCGACGATCTTACTGACGGCTTTGGTACATCTAATAAAACTGCTTTTAGATGCTTTACAAATCCTATCGGTTTTTACATACTATTTTACGGATAGGTTTCAGTGCCGCACATTAGACTACAGCCTTCCCATTTTGCATATTTTACAACTAAACGAACAGTATCAACGCATTCACACGAAAGCGGTAGGGTTGGTGCATTCCGCCTTTCATGACCTCATTAATTTATGCTGCGACATACAAAATCAAAAAAGTATCATTTCATAGCCTGGTTTGGCGGCAGCCATGTGCGCCACGTAAACCGT